GGGGGGGGGGTGAAAAAAGTGTCCGAAATCGCGTGACGTTATATGTGGACGATCCCTTTACTGCTGCTTCGCTTTTGATTCGCCGCCTCCGCCGTTTTCTTGGTATCCACTAGAAAAACTAGTGTGACATGTGTCACGTTTCTTAAAGCACACACTCCCTCTACAGGAAACGTTTCGTGGTTGAACTGCGCTATCCATACGGAAATGGATTGGGACACTGGGACACAACGTGAAAATTGATGCATAAATGTCATAAAATTTGCTTCCGCAGTAAGGCTTGACCATGTACTTCGGACTCTTGCTCGCAGTCAACAACTTCAGCACGTGAAGCTGCAATCGGCTCGGCTGCTGCCGCTCGTGGACTCCTGTGGGAGCACCCTCAGGCAGCTGAGCGTGGAGGTGGGACCGTGGGTGGGTGCTGAACTGCGGCATCTGAGAGGACTCAACCGCCTCTCCGTCTTCGCGGAGGACGGCGACGAGGTACGCGACGTTGTATAGCCATAGAGCTACATTGCAATACACGATTCACGCCCTTCTGCTGCTCACAAGGAACACACAAAACCCTTATGCACTACAAAATGCATAAGGGTTTAGTGTGAACGTGACCGAAAGCTACGCGAGGAAACGTCGAGGGAACGTGGAGTGCTAACGTCCGTTGCCCGAGTCGCCCGAGTCCCTGCACTTCGGCGCTCAGGATAAGCTCCACCCCAGTGAGAAATTTTTGCGATCGTTTCGACATGTCTTTTCACGTTGTTGGTTTTATGGGGGGGGGGGGCGATCGCCTGAGGCTTTTTTACAGTCGACATCGGAACGACGTCGAAACGGCATCGTCTGTCGAAAAGCTATCGATTTCAGGCCCTCCTTTGTGTCGCTAACAAAGTGAATACCGATGTCAAAACGCTAAAATTTCTCACTTGGACTCAGCTCCTCGGCGGGTTGGCCTGTGTAGCGCGTCGCAGGCGCATCCTGTTGGCACACGTTCCTTGTGAGGGGCCACCTTCCAAATCAAACCTCGTTACATAAACTTCTAAGGCTCCTGTGTGCTCTATCCTGCCCCAGAAGACGTTTCTGAGAGCCCTCTACCTTTTGCAGGCCGACGCGACCCCGGTCCGCAGGTTGTTGCAGACGTGTCGCTGCCCTGTGCTGGAGCGCCTCGACCTCAGCCTCTGCAACGATCAGCTGATGAGAGACCTGGGCGCCGGCGCCCTCGCCAGCCTCCAGTGCCTGTGGGTGTCCGGGGCCCGCGCTTCCTGGCGGCAGGAGTCCCTGGAGGTGGCGCTAGCGGGCCTGCCCAACCTACGGTCGCTCGGCGTCCTGGGGCTTCAGGGCCGCACCCCAGGCCCGGCCCAGATGATATCTCGACTATCTAACGCCGCCATCCCCAAGCTCGGCGTCGTTGTCTTCGTGGATAGCGTCACGTGTAAATCGGACACGGTGACTGACTACTTGGGCTTTAGAGGTAAGACGAGACGTTAGTCACCTTCTTCACAGTTTAAACCTTAAAAAGCAATCTTTCAAATCGTTCACAATTATTTGCGGAGCAATACTTTTTATTTCAAAGCCAAATTGGTTCGCCATAAACCATTGAGGTAAAGCGGAAATGCTTGAACAAGAAAAGGGAAGTCACCGTGTTAAAGCACATAGTGATTTCCGTTCTGTTGTTCCACGCATTCTTTTTCTTTTCAGATTGACCGGAATGCTTTATCGCAAAGGATTTGGGAGAGCGCCTCGCAAAGTGACCATAACTGTGTTCAGTATTGCATTCCGCTGTCGCCCCCCGACCGCCTTGGCTGAACCTCGATTTCTTTGCCTTTTCTGTGCAGACCTCAGGGACATGGTGCTCCGCGCCCCCATGCAGCTACACGTTGTGGCTGTATTTCATCTCTGGAATGAACGAAAGAGACACTTCCTGTTCTCCAGGCACTCCACGGTCGAGTCCGTCGTTGCGTCGTGTACGTTGTGCGCCGAGGCGGGTGATATTGGGATTCTCAGTGAATTTAAGGATATTCCATTTGAGCGTATTCAACTTGAGTAGAGAAAGTGCGAGAGTATTCTTTCTAGAGCGGCAGAGATGATATGAATTGTCTTCATCGTTATTTGATGGCCCAAGTGGTTACCTATGTATGTTCTCTGCAAAAGCCAGCACAAGATCTTAGAAAATGATTTATTTTTACACATCTGTGTTATTCCTTTAAGTTAATAATTGCACTTTTGATGTGGAAAAGTGTTTTCCGTTTGGTTTTCTTTTGTTTTCCGAAATACATTCTCATCATGTCAGCACTGTGCTTACCAAATAATGCCTTACAGCGTGATCTTTGATTTTTTTCGAAAATTAAAAAACCCTGGGACAGGTAAACCCTTTCATCGACCCTAGAATCGATTCTGGACAGGATGGGATGGGAATGATACCTCTAACTTGACTTTTGAGCTGGATAGTCTAGAGACGCATCTGCTCCATCCGCTGGCTGGCACCGCGCTCTGTTAAACGCCAGGGCGCTGTCCACGATATCGCGGACACACGATACACGAAAACAAAAAAAAAGATTCGCTGAGTCAGCTAATATATTGATTGGCATATGGACAGACAGGCATATAAACTTCTGTAACCACTATATTGTCTCTAATCAATCATTGGCTGAGGTAGGGAAGAGATAAGCTCATACAGCTAATTTTTGACACTGCTCGTACCCCTTCACCCCCCCAGTTGCCAAACGCAAAAAAACAACAACAAAAAAACAAAGAAAAAAAAACAGACAAAACGAGTCGCGCAGTGCTCACTCGAAATGTTTATCATTAGAACTGCCGTCACGTAATAACCATGGTATGCAATTTAAATTTCAAGAGATAATCGCAAAAAAATAAATAAAAATGCAGATTCTTGGGAGATTTGAGAAAAGTACTCGATTTCTTGGCAGGCTTTTTAAGGTGCAACACATTTTTAATGTTCGCCTCCACAAATTGCGCGTGCGTCTGCTGCATGCGGTCTGTGCATTGCAAAGTCTGGCGCATAGCTGCACCGCTGTACACTCTTAGCAAAATCACTCGATAAACCAAAGGTGCTAGATCTCTCTTTTGAAGGGGTGTTGAAGAATACTTTCTTTGAGGTGCGACTTGACACCTTTGTTTTTCCAGTGATAAGTGTGTATTCAGAGTTTACGAAACGCGAGCGTGATTTTCACGCTCTGCATGCTTCACGCAGCCAATCAGGAGCCGACTTTCATCGCGCCAGGCGTGAAAATCACACCTGGCGCTCGCGGAAGGAACTTCTCAATCCACAATACGCAACGTTTATCATCGTTTTTGCTTTGGCAAATGCTAGTCGCATTCCTAAGTCGCGACCTAATGGCCGTCGTACGGTCAGGTGGTTGGTTGTCTTATCGGAGCGCGTGGGACGAACCGAAATACCGCGGAGCCGGTGCTGCGGCGGGGAGCGCGGCCATTCCCTCGCAGCCCCGGCTCCCGCGCGTCTGGGGCTCTGGGGCAGCCGCGGCCGCCGCGCGCCGCCCTGTTGTACAAGGCCTTTGAGGCTCTGCCCAGCGCACTGCTTCCGGTTGCATCCGGCGCGGCACCCACGCACTCGTCTGGGAGGGGGACCCTTATCACAATCCCTACCCGCGCTAGGCGGCCCTTCTGGGCCCTAGGTCGCGCTCCAGTCAGTTAGTTGGAGCCAAGCTTTAAGAGAGGACGGACCTCATACCTCCTCGGACGAGCCTCCCAGGACGTGTGTGCTGCTGCCAAGCCGGACCGACTTCTAGCCCCTCCGGTGAGTGCCATCAGGGAATCCTACCAATAGTCGAGGTGCAAGAGATACAGGGTGGTCCACAGACCCCTTCCTTTATTTTGCTCATACTGTACCGCCTGCACGCGTGCGGACGGGTTGCATACTCACACGGGGCCATAAGTCGTGGTGAGCGTCAGTAGGCAAGCCCGTCCGCACGCGTGCATGTGGTACAGTATAAGCAAAATGAAGGAAAGGGGTGTGTGGACCACCCTGCAGGTAACCTGTACCCGAATCCTACGTTATCAGAGACCTGCTCATTCTCACTGCTCGCCAGAGATGCGGTCTGATTCTTGATGTAACTAAACTCTTATTCCATCTCAACAGCCCTTCCGGCTCAGCACCATGGCGCCCGCCAGGAGGGCCGCCGCGGCCGCCCCCGAGGCCGTGGACAGGGTGCTGCTGCAGATCGGCAAGCTGGGCAAGTTTCAGGTCGCCAACTTCCTCGTCGTCAACATGCCCATCCTGTTCGTGGCGATCTACATGATAGCTTACGTGTTCACGGCTCAGGATCTCAACTACAGGTGCGGAGGAAAACGGGACAGTATAACCGTATTCATTCATTTGTTTTTATCTTTCATTTTAAAGGTTTAAAGGTGGTAGACTAGAAAAAATTGGAAAAATTACAAACCGTATATGTTCAGACGCGCTTAAACCATTTCGTGATAGGAGAAGGTCCCGACGTTGGTCCAATCTTTTATTTGATGGGCTTAAGCCTGGTTAGTTAATCTCAAGACCTCGCTAAGCAGGAGAGCACGGTCTTCCCTAGAATCCGGCGCTGTCGGCCATCGCGCCCACCACATACACCAACGAACATTAGTCGGTGTCACTATCGAGAAAAATAACAAAAAGAACGTTATCGAAAAACGGTAGAGTTGAAAGCGACTCAGCGACTCGTTATAGTTTCGTGTCGACACTGTCACGTGACTAACCATTTGAGGGAACCTTGACCGCGAAGGTCAAACATATCGACTTCTATCGACTTGTATCTTAGTGTGTCAGTGGTTTCGTTTTACTCAACTGTGCTGTGCTGCAGATGTCTGATCCCCGAGTGCGAGACGGCGGACGCCGCCGCCTACGCGCCCCCGTGGCTCCCCGAGGCCATCCCCGTAAACGACGGGAGCCCCGAGGAGTGCGTCCGCTTCGTGCACAACAACAGCAGCAGCGACGGCAACGGCACCTGCAGCGCGGACCTCTTCGACACGACCCGCACCGAGCGATGCGGCGCCTGGGTCTACGAACCGGGCCAGCGCAACACCATCCTGAACGAGGTGAGGCCTCGGGAGGGGCAGGTAGGCCGACGTCCGAGGGGGTAATCACTAATGAAAGTAGGAGTACACCTTTCAATAAAAGTTAAAGTGAAAGTGACAAAAAGTTGACTGAAAGTGACGGAAACTGAAAGAAAATGAGGACAAAAGTGACTAATCGTGCGTTGATCAGATCAAAAATGAATAAAATAGAGGGGATATGATGTAAGTATAGAAATGAAGTAAACGTTGTAAAACGGTGGAAAAGTCAAGGGAAAATCACGAAAAGTGAATGAAAGTGGAGAAGTGAAAAGTTGAGGTGTACACGCTTTTTTACGTAGTGATTGCTCCCTCGCCGACGCCACGCTGACGTCGCACGGTCGACAGCGACGTGTCGGCGTGTTCGGCGTCACGGCCTTCTGTGACTGCCCATTGACCGCTTATATACTTACTTGTTCGCAGTGGGACTTGACTTGCGACGACAACAAGTGGAAGCTCGCGCTGGTGGGCTCCATCGGGTCCTTGGGCGGGATGGTCGGCATGCCCCTGGCGGGCTTCTTGTCGGATAGGTAGGAGGGGCCGACATGAGCTCGGAACACTCTTAAAAGCCCTGTCAAGACTAGATAAAGGACTAGATTGAGGAGATGGAGCGTCAGCCCATTAAGGCCGCCCCGTCTCCAAACCCGACTACCTGCCATTTGGTGTACCTCGGGTTCGACATCTCGGCACGTGCGTCCCCCGCGCCCCACCCCGCGCG